TTCCCAAATGTCAGAGTTCACTACTGAAACCTTCCATTCAACCTGTTGAGGCATGTTTAAAACTTTCACTGAACTTTTAAAGTTTAAATTATTTGGTTTGTTTTCTAAATTCTGAAAATTTACTAAAGCCTAAAGAAGAGTCAACATAATTAATCTGAAGAAAGAAAAGTAGCTGTTGTCATGAAAAACTTGAACGCTCAACATAGTTTTTATTTTCACCGACCAACTTGACTGTATTTTAAAATACTGAAATCTCTCAATTGTTTTAGAATTTCAAAAAGAAAAGTTTAGAAGATAAAATCACTGTTAAACCAGTAAAAGATGTTTATTACCCCCTCTATAGTGCACCCCTGCACCCTATACAAAAAACATATACAAATATTTAAAAAAAACAATAAAAATAAAAAAATGATTATGTCTACATTCATCCTGTTTCTAATTATTTAAATCAATTCAAAAATTGTTGAAGAGGTCCTTCACTCAGAAGCCATTTTTAATTATTATTATTGAAAATAATCACTTTTGTAAAATTTGTTTCCCTTTTTGGAAGACTGCTCCCTCTTTGATACCATGACTATTATTGTCCCCAAACAGTGTGATAATAATCAGCATGGGGTGCTAAAATACACGGATTAGGGGGTTATCGTTGGAATTCAGTGCAGTGTTCCCATCTTGCCTTGTGGCCACAGGAAGTCCTTAAAATGTAAATATTGGTCTGAAAATGAATCAAATTACAATTTAAAGTCAGCAAACGTGTTTTATTGTAATTAAAAACCTAACTCTTATCAGTTAAAAAAAACATAAATAAATGTTTTTTTAACTTTTGTTTTTAATTTCTGACAAGGCTTCTGGGTGTTTCTGATTTATTTAGTCATCATTGGTTGGTTTTGTTTCAATCTGATGAATGCTTCTGCAGAGCTGCACTCAGATCAAGCTGCTTCTGTTTGTCTCCTTAAAAATAAAAATCTTCATGAGGCAAATCCTGCAGGCAGCAACAAACCCTAAATGTATTCATTACCATGCTGGTTTTCAGCTATTTAAAGGTATTGCTGCTTAATGCAATTACACCCTCTCACTGCTATTTTTGCTTGTAATGTTCTCCAATCTTCCTGGCTATTTTTACCGTTTAAGCTGTGATGCACATAGGCTCTTCTGCACTTTTGTGGCATTCCTAATCAGTGAAAAAAAAAACATAAAAATGTTTGTTACCTTAACCTCAATAAGAGTTCAGAAACATGAACTTTTCAGTCCAGCGTCAAAGTTAATTCTCAAAAAAGTGATGGAAGTAGTGGAAGATTGAAACTTTACAGAACAATAATGCTAACCCTTCAAACATTTAAAATGTAATGGAGTGTTTTTATTTGTCCTGTCGCTCTGTTATCACGTGAAGCTTGTTTTCCATTCAGCCATGCTGTTGGTGTGACCTACAGCACACCTGTTCCTTCTGTTTGCCCAGTGTTTGTGTGTGTTTGCTCAGAGATAAATGAGGCTGGTAATGACACTTTAACAATGAGTGCATTAGTGTTCCATCAGGTTTCACGTCAGCAACCCCCAGCTGAAAGCTGCTGACACCTGAATGCAGCCATGGCGCAAGTTTTTATTTATGAAGCTAGCTCTAAAACTCCATCTCCTCCCTGAGCGTCTGTTCTGCTGCAGATTCTCAATCTTGTTCTGGTGCTTTTATTGAATTACCAGCTCTGTGCTGCTGCATGTGAAGCTCTTGTCTTTTCCCCGCAGCTTTCAGGTCCAATAAATTCAGCTGCTGTCAGGAGCTGGCAGGGCATTAATGACCGAGGAGCTGTTTTATGTCTATCAATTATAATTATGTTCCATTGGTAATATCTTTAGAACAAGAGGAAGAAAACCATTTTCTTTCCCTGATTTCACCAACATCACACCTACTCCTGTCATCCAGACATGAACTCTTCAGAAGCTGGGGCAGCAATAGGCATCCTGTTGATTTCACATACATATCCTGAAAAACCTTCAGATGTAAAAGAAGTCTTAATTTGCCAAAACAGATATAATTCTACTCCGAACCATAAAAACTAAAAACTTAATGACTGAAAGACATAATTTCATTCAGACCAGCAATTTATCA